AGGTGGGAGCCAACAAACCCAGGGACAAGGGAAAAAGAGACCTAAAATTGATGGCAATGAAGGCATAGAATGCCTGGTGGTGTCTGATCAAGTGTAAGGTAGCTGAGAGGAATTACTGAGAGCTGAATGAAGGTCAAGCATAATAGTGGAACAGGAAGAAAGTAAAAAGAAATAGTGAAAAGAATTAGGAAGTAAAAGACATTTATATAGGTATAAATATTGGCATGTACATATGTAAATATATTAATCTATAATGATAGGGATATAGGTATATTTACATATTTTTATATTTTCAGTATTAAGGTAGCAGACAGACATTGGGCCTCTACTCAAGTACTCCCCCAATGCAAGAACACTTTGTTCTAATAACCTGACATTCTGTGATGCTCATCTTGCCAACACGGTCCCTAAAGACAAAATGGGTGCATAAGCAAATGTGGCGAAGAAAGAGGATGGTGCCTGGCTATCAAAAGATATAGCATCTAGGGTCTTAAAGGCTTGAAGGTAAACAAGCAATCATCAAGCTGAAAAGCAACAAAGCCCACATGGAAGAAGCACACCAGCCCGTGTGATCATGAGGTGTTGAAGGGATCAGGTATCAGGCATCAAAAGAAAAAAATCATATCATTGAGAATGAGGGGCAGAGCAGAGTGGGGATCCAAAGCCCATCTGTAGACAACTGGACATCCCCTTACAGAAGGGCCTCGGGGAGGAGACGAGGCAGTCAGAGTGCAGTGTAGCAACGATGAAACATATAATGTTCCTCTAGTTCTTAAATGCTTCTTCCCCACACTATCCTGATCCCAATTCTACCTTACAAATCCAGCTAAACCAGGATGTACACTGGTAAAGAAAGGAACTGGAAACATAGGGAATCCATGACCGATGAACCCTTTAGGACCAGTGGTGAGAGTGGAGATACTGGCAGGGTGTAGGGAAGATGGGGTAGAAAGGGGGAACCGATTACAAGGATCTACATATAAGCCCCTCCCTGGAGGACGGACAACAGAAAAACATGTGAAGGGAGATGTCAGTCAGTGTAAGACCTGACAAAATAATTATAGTTTATAAATTATCAAGGGTTCATGGGGGAGTGGGGAAGAAGGAGAAAAAATGAGGAGCTGATACCAAGGGCTCAAGTAGAAAGCAAATGTTTTGAGAATGATGAGGGCAACAAATGTAAAAATGTGCTTGAGACAATGGATGTATGGATTATGATGAGTTGTACGAACCCCCATTAAAATGATTTTTTTTAAAGGGATGAGTTATTTAAAAAATGTTTGAAATATCTGCTGTTAATTTGATTAAAAATTTTTGTTAATGATAAAAAACCCAAACAACTTTAATTCCAACTCAATTTTTATCTAGTACTGAGATAATGTAATGTGGACATTGGTAATATAAAAATCATTAAATATTAAATGAAATATAGAACGCATTCATTTTTAAAATTCAACATTTCATAAATTCTATATTTGCAAACTACATTAGCATAAACACACAATACTTGTTTCAGAAAATTATATTTATGTGAAAAGTACACCAATCATTTTAAAATATGGAAATGACATGGTACAATAAGAATTTGTGAGGGGAAAAAATGGATTGAAAGACAATGAAAATTAATTTACCTGCAATGTGAGCCTCTTTACTGCATTCCATACTATTCCAATAAATTCTTTCATTCTTTCTTCGGGACTTTTGGAGCCGCCAGATATACTCAGCATGGCTTTAACAGGAACTGACAATGGTCTAGATTCTAAGAATAAGAATAGTTAGTTATTTAACCAAAATGTCTTACATTCTCATAAAAATTTATTAACTATTGTCAAGTGGTTTTCTTTTCAAGATTAACATACAAAAATCAACTGCATTCCTGTATACTATGGAAGAGGGTTCCAAAGAATCAAGAAAAGAGTATAGCCACACTAAAAATAAAATATTTAAGAATAAACCTAACCTGAGAAACAAAAGACTTCCACAAAGAAAATTATAAAACACTGCTACAAGAAACCATGCAGGCTACATAAAAAGACACCACATCATTTCACCAAGGGAGTCATATGAGCTCTGAGCATGGCTATTTGCTGCATCTGTTCATAATTGCCTTCTCCTTCCATATTGTTTTATATATTTTCATGAATAGTGGGTTGCTTTCTGGTAAAATAGACAAGGACCATTGTTACGTGTTAAAGGAAGCCAGTGTTAAAGAAAGCCAGTTTCTGAGAGATGCACAGAAATATCGGAGGCAAAGCACGCTCATGGAGGTGGAGCAATGCAAGTGCCCTGAGGTGGACATGTGCTTAGGGCTTAGCAACAACACAGACACAAGGATGGGGACAGCACAGTGAGTGAGGGAGGAACAACCCAAAGATGGTCAGATCTCTGGCTAGAGATCAAGTCACACCGGGTCAGGATACTATTGGATATGTATTTTGATAGGATTTCTCTGGTGTCCTGCAGGGACTTAACTATGTTGACTATAGGTTGAAACAAAAAGACAAGTTAGGAGCTATAGCTATAATACAAGCAAGTGATGCTGCTGGCAGCAGGGCAGGTGATAAGAAGTGGCACCATCCTGTGTCCACCTCCATGAAGCAGCCAGCAGGATGAGCTGATACAGTCCAAGTGCAGTGCGAGAGGGAAGAGAAGAAAGGTGACCCAGAGGTCCTCATATCTGAGCAGCAGCAAAAATGAAATGCTACAAAGAACACGCTTCAGCTTGGACACGTCAAAATGAAATTTCCATTAGCCACCCGGCTTCCATAATGAGAGTCTAGAAAACTCCATAAGGCATGTCCACTGTATTCTCTTGAGTTGGAATCAACTACAACAACAATATAATCAAAGTATATTTAAAAGCAGTGTGTAAGTGTGTATTTGTTTATACAAGCACAAAAAGGTTATACAGTCCAAAAGCTCACTGCTATCTTATAGCAAGCCCCTCTTGGCTCCAGACTGAAACTGTTGACAGGAGTAGAAAGCCCAGTCTTTCTTCCTCAGAGCTGCTGGCGGTTTTGAATCGTCATTTTCAGTTGGGAAAACTGAGGACGGAAAGGTTCAGTAACTTATCCTTGGTCACCCAGTTGGTAACGCAGAAAGCCAGGAGAAGAATGTAGGGAGACTGGCCCAGGGTTTTAAATTGTTGTGCTCTATGCTGCTGTTTCTGATATTCTAGCCCTGTATAGTGACATGTAGATAAGCCAAACACATAAGAAAAAGAATCACAGTTACTACAGACAATTCAGAAAAAAATCAGATTTTTTTTCATTTTCATTTAAGCTACATAAAACCTACGTACCAAACTTTCTGTCTCCAACAATAAATGAAGCAATTTGAGGCCTAAATCTTATTAAAATAATGCCAACAATTAAAGGCATACCATCCAACTTGGTACCATAATATCCCTTCATTTGGAGGAGTCTACCTGAGTTAGTATTTCGGATATGCCCCTACAAGTCCTAGGATGTGGGGGAAACAATCTGAACCCCCTCCATGACGAGCTCCTGATCTGTAAAGCAAAGTGAGTAAGACTGAAGTCTGGCGTCAAGAGGACTTTCATTTTAAGTGTGATCACAGTCCCAGAACTAACACACCATGGCACTCCTTTTCTATCAAAATCAACCTATTGTTTCAGTTTTAATTGAAATGCCATTTCCTCTGAGAAATGGTCAATGATTCCCCAAAATTAGATTTCGCCCTCCTTCTCAAAACCCACAGCAAACCGAAATAATTCTGTAAAACATATTTAATTCTTCATGGTATAATACTAAACATTTGAATGCTTGTCTCTCCAAATGCAGTCGGAGAGCACAAGTGGAGTAGGGTGACGCGTACAGGACTAGACATGGTACTGGTTAATGTTTGCCTTTGAAGATGACACATTTGGGATTCTGCCACCGAACACTCTTACTCATCCAATGAAATAAACTTCATGTACACATCTATTGGTGCACCCCAAGTTTGATAAAATTGTCTGAGGAAATATAAAAAAAATCAGAAACTTCAGAGGCTAATGACAATATATTCTTGACGCTACATTTCAATCCATGGTTTCTATCAGAGCATTCCTTTCCTTTTTAAGGTTCAATTGGAAACTGGTAACAATTACTCAGTCAGTATGTCAAGAACTTCAGCTCTTATTTTGAGGATTTGAGTAATGATGCCAATGGTTAAATGGTAACTCGAAGTATCCTAAAGCCAAGACAATATTGTGCCAAAGGACATCTGTTTCAGCCAGAGATGAATACCTAGAGAGAAATCTTTTAAATAAAAGTAACATCTCCAGAGTGAAAAAAAAAAACACCCATTGTCATCAAGTTGAATCCAACTCATAGTGACCCTATGGGGTGGCATGAAACTGCTCCATAAGGTTTCTAAAACTATAAATCTTTATGAAGCAAAGAGCTATATCTTTCTCTGATGGCACAGCTAGTGGATTTGAACTGAGAACCTTGCGGTTAGCAGCCCAAGGCATAAGCCACTATGCCGCCAGGAGCAATAGCTGCAGAGCACTGTCTTATAGTGACCTCTCACTCTTTTCTCAACCATTTATATATAACTATGAAAAATAAACTATTATTCATTTGTGGCCCTAAACATTATTTGGAAATCTGAACAAAAAAGATGTATTTATTTTGTAAAAGCAAAAAGGAGGAGGGGAAAAATGGCCCACATCCAACATCCAAAAATAACCTAAATCTGTACCTTTTTCTCACTTCATTGGCTACCAATCTGTGAAAATGTTTCTTTACTCTTAAGCAGGATTACTTACACTTCTGCAAAAGGTCTTTTTGCTTCAGTTCTATCCTACGCTCAACAGAGCTACTGTTCAAGAATAAGCAGCCATCTTAGAACTATCACCACCAGAAGAAAAAAAAAGTACCCTCACTGACTTTCAAGGTCACTTGCCTCTTTCAATCTACTCAACTTTATTGTTCACTTCTATGTAGGAGTCTTCGCTCCAATCAATGCATTCTCCTGGCTGTCCCCAATCAAGTGAAATGCTCCAGTTGGAGCAAACCAAGTCCTGTCCATTTTATTCAGTTCTACAGAGCCCACTACTTGGACATATAACTTTTCTCTCTTCAGTTAAAACCAAAATTTCATCAAAAGAGAAGCCATATCACATAATACTTTCAATTTCCCATGACCCTTAGCACAGAGTTAAGAATACTATAGGAAATTAAGTTTATATTTACTGATAGTGAAGTAAAGGTAGTATTTTATTTATCCTGAGTTGTATTTGGATTGTAAATCCAAGTTGTAGATCAACATTTAAAAATCTATATAAATTTCTAATGGAACAGAAATACCCTAAAAGATTTCTTGTATCAATTTAACTCAGCCCACAAGTCCTGATGCTAAGTTCTGAAGAATTGACAAATGACTACAGCAAGATATGAGAAGAGATATGGAAGGGTATAGGATATCAATGAACAAGTCAAAGCAGCAAAATAACGCCAGCAAGGACTATGATTTTCAGTTCCTCTGCTACCCAAAAGGTCAGCAGTGGGGCACATCAGCTGTTCCAGGGGAGACACAAACCTGGAATTCGGCTCCCACAAAAATTTCAGCCTACAATACCCTACGGGCCGTCAAACAGGATCACTGTGAGTCAGAACCAAGTTGATAGTGCAATAAGAAATAAAAATAATGAGAAAAAAGGGTTTCATTCCTTCTTAAAATAATTACATACTACATCTATATCAGAAATACATGTTATATTCTGGGAATATGAAAGTGAACAAACCAGATCTTCTGGCTTCCGATATATACTCTAGAGGGAGAGAGACGAAGACGAAGTGAAACGTGTGCTGACAAGTGTTCAGGGGACAGAAGAGAGACGGGAACTTGGGGTCTACTTTTGACGGCCTGAATAGGTAAGCATCTCTTCATTCAAAAAGTGCTATGTAAACAAAGCCACGGAAGATGAAAATCACATAACTATTCAGAAAAAACATGGAAACATGTACAAAAGAGCCCAGAAAAACTAAAAGTGTGGTGTGCTTGAAGAAATATCCGTATAAGAAAAAAGACAAAATAAAGGGGGGGAAAGGCAAAAGTGAAACGGAAGAAGCTGACGGAAGCTAGACCCTGTGGAACTTTGCCGGCCACAGTAAGAAGTTTGGATTTCACATTAAGTGCACTAAAAAAGTCAGTAAATCATCCTTAGGCCCACTTGAGATTTTTAATACAATGACACTTGCTGTTTATCTAAACTATGGAGTGGTTGGCTGAGAACAGAGAGTAGGGCAATATGGAAATGGCCCACTGAGGATTATTCTTTTTTTTCTTTGTTTTTAAAATATCGTTTTATTGCCACATAATTTATGTACAATACAATTTAATAGTTCAATCATATTAAAAAGAGTTGTACAATCATCACCACAATCCATTTCAGAACATTGTCTTATGGCCATTGTTTGTTTGTACTTTAAATACTTTTATTGGTGGCTCTTATACCTCTTATCACAATCTATACATTCATCCAGGGTATCAAGCACATTTGCATATATTCCACCATCATCATTTTAAAAGCATTCTCTTCCCACTTAAACCCCTGATATCAGCTCCCCATTTCTTCCCTCTCCCTCCCTGACCCGCCCTCCCTCATGAAAACTTGATAAGTTATAGATTATTTTTTCTATATCGTACATCTCCTCCATTGCCCCTCACCCACTTTTCCATCATTTGGTCCCCCTGGGAGGGGGTTCTAGATTGATCCCTGTGATCAATTCTGCACACACACACCCCGCC